TTGCATTTGAAATATTTTGGCTTTACAAGCTTATTGCTGTTCTAAATATGCGTTTATTGGTGGCTTTCATCGTCACGCAGTCGAAATCTCAAAATCTATGGAGTGCCCTGACGCCAAGAGAGTGAATTATTTTAAAATATTGATACATAAACAATTTTAGGTACGCCAAGTTAGTGCCCATCCAAGATAGGCACCAAAATTTAACGGTTCGATAGCTTAGCACCTTTCTATTTTGATGTACTAGCACTTGGCGACAAAGACGAGCTGGAAAATGAAAAGACGAATGAAACAGAAAATGGCAAACGGCGAAAAAGGAAGAAGTCGAGGGAAGACGAGAAAATGCAAGGAGAAAAATGGACAAAGGACGACTTTCCGATTTGTAAGCATAATTCTAATCTTTCACTGAAGCATTTTTCATTTGAGACCCGAAAGTAATCCGGGGTTGCGTTGGTTTTGTCTCATTTTGCTCCGTGATTGGCTGAGAAAACTCGCGCCATCCTCTCAACCAATCAGATCTAACACTAAAAGCAAAAGCATTATGGGTCACATGCATTTCCCGCGCCACAGGTAGTTTGTTGTTATTTTGAGCTCTTTCTTTCTTTATTTATTTAGCTTTGCCTAACTAGAATACAATTATACTTATATGCATAAAAATTATTACGGCAGGGAGACCACTACAACTTATCCAATTACAGTGGATTCCTCGTTAATGATTACTGATAACTAAAGCTACTCATATATAGAACGAGAAAAATAAAACAGGAAACAAAAGTTGAAATTGCTAGAAGCAGCACGACGGTGGACATAGGAGAGTCCTCGCTATGTTGCAGCTGGGACAGATTGTTCTCCAGGTTCTGATGTCGTCAAGGTCATTCAGAGCTAAAGCGTTATTGTATTATTGAAGTAATGAACGATTATTCTTTCTGCTTTTGTCATTAATTTGCTCTGTTTGGCTGCTCCGATTACGTTGGTTTTGGTTTTGTGACAATCAATCGAAAAGCGCTCGATAGTTTAGGTCCTATTGCTAAGGGATCAGGAAAAGGTGAGGGGAGGATTCGATGCAGGATTTAAAATTTACCTTAATGATTCTACCCCCCCCCACCCCCTTATTGACAGTTAATTGGCAGTCAATTTCTTTAATCCACCATCTCTATTGTTTGCGACCCCACCCCTACCCCCCTAGACGATCCTGTAATAATGACCACCCTTAGTATAAGTTTTGAAATAAAAAATTCCATCGAAGATGAGAGGCAAATGCTTTACGAACAAGAATGGAACCCGTTGCAAAGGAGAAAAAGTTGTAGAAATCCTCCGATCCTCCTCCCCCCCCCCCACGGGAATCACTAGAGACCGGCCCATGATGATCTCAGTGATAACGGTGATTATCTATAATAGTAATAAATTTGATGAAGATGATGATAATAATTATGAAGGAAAGTTTTCTTAGAAATAATTGTGATTTTATCTCTAAGATGAGGGCGCTATAGATTTTAAAAAATTTGTCAACTTGATGGAAAAACAGCGAAGTATGATGCAGGACGACGAGGCCGCCATGTTGTTCACTGTATTCGATTCTGACCATCGTGGCTTCATTGAAGGAAAGACAATCAAGAGATCGCTGCATTTTCTTGAAGATGTCCCCACCGACGAGATAAACGAAATACTGGCGATGACAAAACTTTCGGATGACCGAAAGATAACTATGGAAGGTATCTAATCCACCTTGTTATGATTGTGAGCCAGAAAGAAAACTGTCAGTCGGCCAGTTAGTCAAACATTAAGCCAGTCTGCTTGCCAATCTGTTTATTAGTTATTCAACAGTCAATCAATCATTAATTCGGAAAATAAGTTGGTTAAGTTGACAGGCGCTGAAGTCAGTCAGTCAGTCATTCATTCATGCTGTCAGTCAATCTATCAATCGGTTATTGAACAGACACTCATTCACCAAATAAGTCAGTCAGTCAGTCACTCGTAAGTCAGTCAGTCAGAGTTAGTCAGTCATTTATTCATGCACTCAGTCAATCTATCAATCGGTTATTGAACAGACACTCATTCACCAAATAAGTCAGTCAGTCAGTCGCTCGTAAGTCAGTCAGTCAGAGTCAGTCAGTCATTTATTCATGCACTCAGTCAATCTATCAATCGGTTATTGAACAGTCACTCATTCACCAAGTCTATGCGTCAGTCAGCCAGTCAGTCGGCCGATCAATGAGTCAGCTAGTAAGTCTGTTTACTATGTCTCAGATTGTACGTGATCTGATTGGTCAATCTAAATTCAAAAGTTTGTCTGAATTGAAACAACCCCCCTATATTTAAACTCAGAGATCTAACAAATATCTTACTAACAGTTTTTCCTCGGTCCGCACTGTTAATGAAAGAAGCTCGTTTTTCCAATCGCATTTATGGCCCGAATGCTTGTTTCTTGGGCCATAAATCCAATTGGTAAAAACTTGGTCCTTATGTCACAGCGCACCACTCAAAGTCGGTCAGTGACAATTTCAGTGAGATAGTCACCCATCCGTTAAGTCAATTTATCAGTCTATCAGTCAGTCAGTCAGTCAGCCAGTCAGCCAGTCAGTCAGTCAGCTAGTCAGCCAGTCAGCCAGTCAGTCAGTCAGTCAGTCAGCTAGTCAGCCAGACAGTCAGTTAGTCAGTCAGCCAGTCAGCCAGTCAGCCACTCAGTCAGCCAGCTAGTCAGCCAGTCAGTCGTCAGTCAGTCAGTCAGTCAATCTGCCAGTCAGTCAGTCAGTCATTTTTATCAATCAGTCAGTCAGTCAGTCATTTTTCAATTATCCAGTCAAGAAATGATTAAACTTCTACTGCTGTTTAATTTTCAGAGTTTGTGACCAACTTTCTTTCACCTCTGATACTGAAGGAAGAGAACAGTGAGATGCTCTGATCTGGCATGTGCAACTGAAAAGCAAAAGTCTCTAGTGTTTAGTTTTTCTTTTATTTAACTTTATAATGCTAGAAATACCCCCCAAAAAATTGGAATGTTTTAAGCTATTTTGAAAAAGTAAAACGTTGAGTAATCTACGATGACGTGAGTAGCCCATAGAGCGAAAATTGTCTGGCATTTTGGTTTAGTGAATTAGCTTTCTTTCAAAACATTTATTTCAATAATATTTCTTAATGGATAGATTCAAGTGGGAGAGAGCTTTTGCTTTCATTTTATTTGTGTAATATAAACAACATTTTTGGTAGATGCAAACCCTGTTTCTTGTAGCAAATTGATTTTTATTCCTAGCAAGAGATGAAGACACTCTGTTGGACATTAAAGAACTTGATTCGCACATTAGGTATTGTGAGAACTCAAATAATGAAAATTTTTTTTAAGTAAGAAGTTAAATGCTATAGCAATGTTTCATTAATAAAATTCAATAAAATAGAGGGTCGAAATACATAGGGCAAATGTTATGCTTTAACTGTCAGATTTTGAAAGGAGAGTGACAACAATTATCTGAAAAACTTTTGAAAAAAAAAAGAATAATATATAAAACAGTTAGCCAGTTAAAAATATCACGCTATCTGAGGAGTTGAAGCAGCTAAGCTTTTGAGTTAATTTCAAAAATTTACTGCTGTCATCCAAGAGTTGCGTTTTAAGTTTCATATAGAGAAGATGATTCCAAAATAAGAGTTTATTTCTTCTTGCGGCAAGTACTTAAGGACATTATTTTAACCGAACATGATCAATATTTCATTACGTTGAATTGGATCAAGAAGGTTTCCTTATGAAATGCGGATATTTAATAACTTTGGTTAAAGAACTTATGTAAATTTTTACTACCTGTGTTCTCCATTGCGTCTCTGGTGATTTATTTTGCAAATTATTTAACTGATGCGAAATGAAGCTAATAATCCCTGTTTTATCTGCATTCAGTTAATATTTTCACTCCATCTAAACGCCACATCTTTCAAGCGTGCTTTGTAGAGGCACTTTACATATGGGCAGTGATTTTCGCAGGACAACCGTTGGCTAGAGAAAAAATCGTTGTTGAATGTGATTCTTTTATTTGCGGCCGTTTTTAGCCAAGAATTTTGTGGTTTATCACACTGAAATTCTGCAAAAGGTAAGATTTCTTCATAGATTATCGCTTGAAGTTAAATAAATACAGAAGTAGACTTGCCAAATAATAGTGTACAGATAAAACTTAGCGGTTTTGAACTGTTCCTCTTCCTGGTTGAATTAGGAGCTATTCCTTCGCCCTAAAACTTACGAATGATACGGTAACGTTGGGTAAAATTTAAACTATTATAAAATCAATTTATTACGCCATCGTAATGTAAAAAAGGAATATGGAAAAAAACCGACATGACTCTTAGTTCAAAACGACCCTAAGCAAAAACGATATTCTCATCGAAAAGGTTTTCAAGTTTTGCAATTGCTTCTCAAAAATGTGTTTGAATTAGGGAATAGATTTTGTATCGCTTTTCGGGAGACCACAGAAATCTCCTGCTGCGTTTGAAATGACTGGAATACGTCGAATTTTATTTGTAAAAACATGCGCAGCTATTTAAAAAACGCTAAATGAAAATAGTTCGACAACATCTGCGAAAATTGGACCCAAGCAAAATAGCTCTTGATAAAGTTCTAATTTTCTAGACAATGCGGAGACACAATATTTTGGGAAATTTTCTTTTGCCCTTCTTAAGTGAATCACTATCACAAACAACTAACAAGGTGGAGTAATTGATCAGCCAATCACCGCGTCACAACGCAACGCTCTAAAATAGCACAAATTAACGTTTTAACACCGTAAGAACAGGATAAGCTTGCTTTGATTTCTACAATTACGTCGGAAAATTTACCATGTATGGAATTATCTTCGACGGAATCTGTTCACGTCTATTTAAGGCGCTGGTGGTTGTTTCAGGACAAACATAATTATGTAAATCCATCAAATAACAGATAGATAAATGAATGTTATAGTTTTGCTTCCTCTTGTTATATTTAGCTTTTGAAACATCACGGAAAATCCCGCAGGAGGGAAGATGAAAAGTAAGCTTAACCTTGTTTCCAGGGTCCTCTCTCGTTCTTCCTTGGGAGGACCCTGGAAATGAGGTTGAAGTAAGCCACGTTTTTACGCACAGCGACATTGACGAGTTGATTAAAACTCGTGTTGCCGAAAAATTTCTGTACACATTAAGCAATTATATATTAAGTAAATATTAAATAATAGTTCTTTGATTATGGTATAGTTTTTATTGTCATGCCTGCGCATGTAAATCATCATTTTTTTGATGCTTGACATAAAGAAACTGGGCTGAGCAGGCGCAAAGAAATGACACGCCTTATCTCGTCGTTAATCGTTTCCTGTCACTTAATTCCTTCTCTGCACGAGCCCTAACGGGTGGTTATTGGTTTGGTAAAGCCTCATGAAATCAACAGGCTACTGACGGGAATTCAAAAGCTTCTATTTCAGAGTTCCGCAAGAAACCGCTGTCCAATAATGAGCATTTCTGCGTTCTCAGCCGCAGACTTGTTGTAGGAAAGCTTATTTTAGCTTCTCATTCAAATAAAAGCGTTTTTGACGAGTGAGATTTTTTGTTTGGTGTGCTTTGGCCTACTTTTTGAAACTTTGGGGGTTTGAAAGTGAAAAATTGTCTTGAATTTTTCTTACTCAGTTCAAAAATGTTCAACGCATTTATTTTTTGTAAGGCCATGGGTATTTTTTTCTCCTCAGTATGGATACGCTTCTGCAGGGATGGCTTATACCCCTCCTATTAATGAAATATCATGGAAACTGGTGAGTCTCTAATTTACTAGATAGATTGCACACTTGCCATAATCTCGTGCACGGATCCTCCTGTGTAACTGTAACTGAAATGTTATACCCGCTTGGCCGTGAATGGTTTGGTTAAGAGACTACACTTGCCATCGTTAGGGGAGTTCTCAGGAGTGTTTTCTCGCCCACTCATTCTCTCTCACGATTCACTCTGACTTTACAACAGTAACCTACGAGCAGGCCATCATTATCAGCGTTGCAGGAAGTACGTTTCTCCACTTACTAGAAGAATTAAGACGGGTCGGAGAGAGTTTTACCGGAAGTCTGGTACTATTTTCAGTGCCAGACCCCTTGCAGACCTATCGGTGGCTCGCGTTGCTGAAGCTCTTATACTTTTTCGAGGGCGAAGAAACGCTTGTGCTGAAGCATTAGTAAAGGGGGCCTGGTCCTAGGCTATAACAACAGGGAAATAGACAAGTAGTACTTTAATATTTCAACTGGAATTTGATGGTATGGCCTTTTTTTTCGTTATGAGGGGTATGGCCTCTTTTTTCGTTACGAGGGGTATGGCCTTTTTTTTCGTTATGAGGGGTATGGCCTTTTGTTTTCGTTATACCTTACTTTTTCTCGAGTGAAAGGACATTTAAAAGCTCCTATTCTCCTAGAGGGGATTTTTTGCTTATGATAAAGTCTCGTTCAGAACCTCTACAGTCTCAATAACGCACGACAGTTAGAGTCGAATACGGAGTCCTAAGCTTGACAAAACAAGCAGTTCAGTTTTCATCTGATTATGCTTATGACTCTGATTTTTTTGAGCGAGTGAGCTCAAGATTGTAATAGGTGCAAGCGGCAAGAACCAAACAATTACAATGCGGGTTTTCAGGCCATCTGTTGGCTTACGATTCCAACAATTCAGTTTTCACAATCAAAGGCGACAGGGTCCTGAACCGTATCTGCGCTCTGCTTTCGATTCGCCGGATCTCATCCGGCTCCGCCAGCTCTGAACATCAACCTTAAAGTTTTAGCTCCTAGCTTGAACAGTTGAAGAACATTTGTTTGTTTCTGATTAATTAAGTCCTCCTGACTACCTTCTTGTTCACTTTAATTATAGCAATGAGATATCTCACTTTGACAGAACAGAGATAGCCAATGCCACGTTCATTTTGGATAGTATCCTGGAAGATAGCGATTATGACAAAAACACCAGACCCCGAGTAGGACGTAAGTCTCTCCGATGATCTGTGAAAAACTCCTGTCTTAATCAGCCTGTGTAGCCGTCCTCTAAGTTTCCTTTTATGGAAGACGGAGGAGGGTGAACCGTGCAAGGGCATAGGGCGAGAGAAAGTAAAAAAAGTGGTTCGTAGGTTACTTCTTTACTCCAGAACTGATCAACATGTAACCTCTTCTCAAAAATCCATATTTCAGCCAAGAAGCAGGTGACTAAAATAGACAACCTCATCAGCTAGGGGTGTTATTTCGATAAAACGCCGAACACTGGAGGTTATAGGGAAATATTTGACAATTAGAAGGGAGGAATTGTAATCTTATTTTGGGATTTACAATAAGAGGAATAACATCTAGTAGATTAACTACTCCGGGGAGTAAGTGAGTGTTACCATGGAAACAAATTAATGGTGTCTATTGTGTTACCTCGTAATTTTAATGGGAAAGGAGTCACGATATGATCTCAACTCTTAAAAGCTCGTGCGTGACAGATTTTTTTCCCTGACCAGGATTATCATTAAAAATAGATGAATAATTAATGCAAACTGAAAAAAGAAACAAAAATTTATCTTTTTTTCCTTAGAGAAACCAGTTATAGTGTATCTCAGTATGGCAATTCAATCTTTTACAAATATTAAGGAATCTAATATGGTGAGTAATTTGTTTAAAATATTTAACATTAGATTACTTTAGGTTTTAGTTTCTATGTATTTGCAGTTTAGTTTATCAATTCTTCCACTGTACACTTGTGGATGAAAATCACTTTTCAGGCTTCTAATCCTACAAGTTTTTCAATTCTAGCTGACTTGCGTGGATCATTTCTTACTTGAATATTATCCAAAGGTCATAAATTCTCATTTAATGTCAATAATTATAATCAGATATCTGATTATAATTATTGACATTAGATGAGAATTTATGACCTGTGGATCCCTGTATGGGGACAAAAAACCCTTCAAATTAATTTCATATCCACCCATCATATAGATTTTCAGCTCACTTGGTAGTACCGCCCAACTAGCAAGGTTTGGAGAAGCATGGGTTGGAATCCATACTGTTCATCTGCGAGGAACACATATTTACTTAGAGATAAATCATTGTTAAAAATTATACGATTAACTCGAATACGATTAATGGAAGCCAAAAGAGAAGGAGTTTGTCAGCTTTAGAGTTAAATAGGCCGTCAAGAACAATAAACGCCACTTATTTCTCGATAGGAGTTCACAACATCAATGTTCTTGCGCCAAGAGTGGAATGACAGAAGATTAGCGCATCATGACAACGGCATGTTACCTGTCCAAGGCAAAGATGTGCAGAAAATATGGCGTCCAGACACTTACTTCACAAACATGAACGACTATAAGTTGTACGAGGACAATCAACTGGCTCTGATATCAAGATTTGGATATGTCTACTATAGTTCAAGGTGAACTGAGACAACATGTCATGGTGGACACGAACGAACAGATCCTTTTTCCAATATGGCGACGGAAAATGACAACCACTAAGTATTGAACTAGACCAGGAAATGGTTAAAATAAATAATTTTAAAGGTTTTTTTTCATTTGGTATCTCAGGAAATATTCACTGTCGTACCCTTTTAAATTTTTTTGGTATGCGTGGCCTTGTAATTTTTATTAGACCTCAAAAAGCACCATTTTCATTGGTAAATCTCAATTATCTCTTTGTAAAGCGCATCAGAGTTCAATTAACCTCGTACCCAGATCCTACCGTGTAACCGTAAAATGAAATGTATAACCGCTGGACCGTGGAAGGTCTAGGAACGAGACTACAGTTCAACAGCAGCACACGTTCTTCCCACCCCAACCCAATATTTTGGATTTCTGCTTTCACTAACTTATTCAGAGACGTAGAAAAGAAAAGTATCCCTTTTCAAAACGGCTGCACGAACCTCCAATGTGAAGAGAAAGACAGTTTGAATTATATGGAATGAACTTCATACGTAAGAAATGTTCTTTCTTCTGCGACAGGTTGTTTGTTGCTGCGTCCTGTCGAATGTATTTACAAAAGTTTCCAAGGGATGTTCAGAAGTGTAGCCTTATCCTTGAAAGTTGTAAGTATGAGCTGATTTTGTTGCTCTGAGTAAGGTTTCTCAATTTTAAACGTTCTTTGTAAAGATCATGATAGAACCAGAGGCTTAGCTCACGAGATGTGAACTCGTGAGTATAAAAGCCGCCCTTGTAGGAGAGCCTCATAGCTTATCAGCTGAGGCTTGATCGTCACTGGTGCCCTCTACTTATTTGCTGCGGTGGACTCATTTGAGAAATTACGAAGCCACGACTTGCAAAATCTATTGTTGATCCCCGTGGCAGTATCAAAAATTAGGCGGAGCACACAACCACGGGTCTTCCATCTATGTCCATATAATACAGGGTGTCCGTTAAAACAGGTCTAATAGACTGCGTAATCGTTTAATTTATTAGAAAAGCTTCGAATACAAAAGTGTGAGTAACCAGTAACCTTTCGAATGTGACAGTTTTACGGGAAGGTAAATGGTATAATCAATTGCCAGACTAGACAGTTTTTATAGCATGCAAAGTACTCTCGATCTGTGTTCGCTCAAGACGATATCCACTTAATTACTCTTGACAGAGATTTTGCTGTAACACTAAATCAAAAAACTTTCGTCACAGCCTCCTCCCCAACTGTTCACAAGATAGTCAATTAAAACACATAAGGAACGAATGTTTTAAGTGGCTTGTGGCTGTTATCTTTTTAAAGTTGCCTTCACTAGAGACATGGTGGAATACCGATGGAAGTACCCCAATCCAATCAACATCCTGGATATAGAATTAGCAGAATTTGATTTGACCAGCACAGAATACACTAGTGAAGATGTTGAGTACGTTGCAGGTATTCACTACGACTTTCTTCAAGCCCTCAGGGGTGTTCCTCGTAAGGAAAAAACCATGAGTGACCTCAGGGGTTTTCTCCCTCTTTTTGTCGTGATGAGAGCCCATTTTTTAACGAAAGATTTTCTTCAGAATATTTTTGAGACTCCAGCGATATAGTTTGCTTGCTTGAAGTTCTATTTTGTTTCTTTTCAAGTGGCTTGAAATCTAAATTGCACGCTTAACGAACGCCAGACGTGTGGAAAATATATTATGCCCGATAAGGTTAACCGTTAAACTTGAGAAATAACGCCACTTTGAAAATATCGGTATAATAATTTTTGCTCTGACGTAAAAGCTAACGCTTGAAACGTCAGCTGTATAGTATACGGCGGCCAATTTGCACTACGAACTCAGGAGATAAGTCTAAATTATCTTGTTACACCCCTCATCGATGTTTCTCTAGAAACTTACCCCCTTAATACCAACAGTTTCGTGTGACCATTTGTGACATATGTTACGAGATTCATTGATATAAATCTCTGTTTCGCTTGCAGGTAAATACCGTGACATGATCGTAACTTTCACATTTAGTCGTCGGATCGGTTATTACCTCATTAACTTCTACGTCCCATGCATCATTATGGTTATTATGAGCTGGATCGTGTTCTGGATGGATCGAGCCAACATCGGTGACCGAATAGCGCTCGGAATTACGACTGTGCTAACGATTGTTTTCTTACTGAGTTCCAGTAACAGCACTATGCCCCGAGTCAGTTACCCGAAGGCAATCGACTGGTACCTAATGACTTCGTTCATCTTCGTCTTCACGACACTGATCATGTGTCTGTTGATCTTCCGGTTTGATAGACGTGTAAACAAACAGCAGTGCCCGCCGAGGTCGGTAAGCGGTGAACCACCAGCCGAATCAACTTCCATGCAGGTAAATGAAATCATATTGAAAGAGTTCGCCCGCGATAGTTAACGACTTATCGCTGACAATTAGTGATCAAGACAGAATTTCTCCTTACATTATCAACACAGAATTAAGTAGACAAGTGGGGAGAATAAAGAAGAAAACTCAATTAGGGGACCAAAAGTTGATCCAATACCAAATTCTCCAAATTGAAATCATAAGTATATTATGCCAGACAGTAGGGAGAATTACTAACCCTCCCTCACTCTTTTAAATAGTGCTGGGAAATTACTTCATCCCTGTTCACTGGAGGACTGAGAGGGCTAAGTTTCTCAGCTAAACCGTGCTTGGCCTTAGAGTACTGTGACTACCCTGGACGGGAATTTAATCAATCGCAGTCTGCCCTCCCTCTCTCCCTCCCTCTCATGGGGTTGGCTGGTACCCATTGATAACTCCTGGGTGAAGAGACGCTGTATGAAAAGTTTGCCCCAGAACACCACCCATAATCCAAACAAGAGCTCACACCTGGTATGCTCGTCCTTAGACCGCTGCGTTAAATACCTCGCCTCTCATGTCGGCTCTCTAGGCATAGCTTACTAGCCTTAAATCTTTGTCATAACTTTAGATGCCCGAAGAGCCAGAGATTCGGAGCCGTGTGTCATACTTTGTGGCAGACTCTCGAGGAGCCGTGTATCCCATCGTTCACAGCGCTTCTGGCCTCAAGAAAAGAAGTCTCCTATCGTTCTGTTTTCGCCAGAAGTTTTGCGGACTGTCGGCACGAGTTACCCGGGAAAACCTGGGAATGATTTTAAACAATTTCTGTAGATTTCTCTTCCCTTGTTCGTTTCTTTTCTTTAATCTTGTGTACTGGGTGGTGATAGCCAACTAATGGATGCTCGTGATTAATTTAATGAGATGGAAATGAGACAGTGTGGCCATTTTGGAGTCTTCTAGGACAGTTAGGTCAACGAGTTAGGCCCATGTTCTGCTTCTAAGGTGAAAATCTCTCTCAGCGGTTACTCATGAGAAGATTTTTTGCTTTCTGTTCAAGAGGAAAAGACACAACCCAAACAGATTCGCTTCACCTCGTCTATCTGGAGAGTGTTATGTTTAGGGACGCTTATTATTTATATCCTAGGGTGGTGGGGGGAGGATGGAGGATTTTTTTTTGGGGGGGGGGGGGTGGTCACATGGGTTTTCAGAGGGTACGTCCGAAGGATGGTCGCAGCTAACGGATTATAAAGGGGGAGATTTAGAAAATTGACCGCCAATGAGTGGAAATCATCGGAATACTACAGCGCATAAGGGAAGAATAAGATAAATTTTATTGACACATCAAAATCCTCCTATTCCCCCTCCCCCCGGATATGAATAACGACAAGTCCCCCAGTACAAGAATGACGAGTAACAACCCTTTTAACGAGTTTTTTAAAAAATAAGAAGCCTGACTTCATTAAGTAAACACATTTAAATTTAGGTAAAGTAAATAATTCTCGGAATCCAAGCTAGCCTGACTAAAAGAAAAACTTAATTTTGAAAAAAAAAAGGCCTTTAGACAGGAGTATTTTGCAGAAAATCTGCTCATGTAGAATTAAACAACGGTTACTCGCTTTCTTGGAAGTGCGGTTCTTCAACGAATGGTTTTGAACGATCTGATTATAAATTCTTCTTTTAGCTGCTAAATGTTTTCTCGAAAATTAGTTAGGAGAACTTGGTGTTAGATCAAGACAAGAACGCTTTAGCTGGTGTGTTTGTCTATTATCATCACCTTTAAGTTAGATATCGTGTTCGCGTTGTCAGGAGAAGTTGGGTCATAGCCTTTTAACTCCCATGAGTGACCAAAACAGAATTTCTCCTCATAACATCAATACAATATTAAGTTGAAAAGTGATGAGAATAAAGAAAAATATCAATTAGGGGATTATCACTAGATCCAATACCAAATTCTCCAAACTAACAATATAAGAACTGTATGCCAGGCAGTAAGGAGAATTACTCGTCAGATCTTGGGATTGAAAGGGTTAATTCCTTCACCACTGTAAGGGTTAATTTAGAACTGCAGTAAAAACCACAGTCTTCCGTCGCTCAATACCACAGTGCTTACGAGAGAAATCTAAATCACGAATCAATTAAATGGGTGAAAAGGGTCTTGTTATCTTTCCAAGGTACTTAAAGTTTCTTTCAGTGAATCAGGTAGTATTTATTATAATAATTATTAATGGTTAGATTCATGTTTTGAAGAGAGTTGCAACTTCCATTTCAGGTATGTTACATGAATGTTAGTTGTTTCTCATGAAAACTCTTGTTCCTTGTCTCAAATTAATTGTTATTCTCAGCAAGAAATGAAGAAACTCGGTTGGAAATGAAAAAACTTCACTCTCATATTGCGCTTCGTGTAATTTCAAATAATGAGGGAATTCCCAGAATAAAAAAATACAACAATAATTTTTCGCTGGTGACATGAATGCAATAAATAACTGTGGCGAAATGCAATAGCAAACAGCAAGTGTTACACTTCTATAAAGAAATATTTCGAAACGGGAGTGACAAGAATTAACTTTGAAAACTTCTAGAAAAAAAAAGTAAAAACAGTTAGCCAATTTGGAATATCAGATCATTTTAATCTGGGGTTTTTTTTATCTCTCAGACTTAATTCAAAAATTGAGCGAAGTCATCAAAGAATTGCGTTTTAGTTTTTATATGGAAAAGATAATTCCAAAATAGGCAGTTATTTCTGCTTACGGCAAGTACTTAGGGATATTCTTTTTACCGAATATAATGAATATTTTATCACGTTGAATTGGATCAAAAAGGTGTCCTTATGAAATGCGGATATTTAATAACTTTGGTTAAAGAACTTATGTAAATTTTGACTGCCGCTATTCTCCATTGCGTCTCTCGTAATTTATTTGGCTGATGCAAAATGAAGCTGATAATTTACGTTTATCTGTATCATTTAATATTCACTCGATGTGAACGCCATACCTCTCGAAAGTACGTCGTTAAGGCATTTAAGGTAAAAGCCGTGATTTCCACCGATAAAAACCATGAATTAGGTTAGAGTTGTGGGTTAAAAGTTGAACGTTTTATGTGCAAGCGTTTTTCGCCAAGAGAGTCGGGGATTGTCGCTGTGATATTGCACAAAAAGGTAAGTGCCTTCCTTGTTGCGATGAAATGTTAGAAGATGGCTTTCTACTTCATGGTAAGAATAACAACTATTTCTTAGCCTTAAAACTTGCAAATACACAGTTATGTTGCGTATAACCTAGAGTATTTTGAACATCGATTACTCGCAGCAAATTACAACTTCATTGTAAAAAAAGAGGAAAAATGCTGGCAAAAAAATCGGTGCAACTTGGAGTTAATTTAAATGTAAGCGGACAACATCTTTCAAACAGATATTTTCCCCAAAATTACGTTCTCAAAGTTTGCTTTTTGTTTTTAAAAAAGTACTCGTTTAGGTACACAAATTAGGGCACAGTTTTCATATCGCTTCTTGAAAGACCACAAAAATTACCTGCTGCGTTTGAAAACGTCTGGAAAATTTCAAATTTATTCGGAAAAACATGCGAAGCTGAAACTAGAATGTCAAGCGAAAGGAATCGATGACTGCTTTGTGTTTCACCAACTTTAGTGACTTCAGTGGAAAAAGTCTTGATAAAGTTCGAATTTTCCAGACATTATCGTGACAAAAATATTAAAAAAACTTTTCCTTAGACCTTCCCAAGTGGATCATTATCAAAAATAACTAACGAGGTAAAGTAATTGATCAGCCAATCACGGCGACACCACGCAACGCGCTGAAATCGTCCAAATCAACGTTTTAACACCGTTAGAGTGCGATAAGCTTGCTTTGATTTTTACCGTTAATTTGGGAAATTTACCATCTATGGAATTGTCTTTGACGGAATCTGTTCGCGTCTATTTAAGGCGCTGATGGCTGTTTCAGAACAATCAGAAACGCATAACACCGTCAAATAACAGATAAATAATAAATGCTGTATTTGACGTTCCACTGTGATGTTTTTCTTTTGAAACATCCCGCATGAGGAAAAAATCAGAAATAAAGTAAAGTGTTGACGTACTTTCACGTCGTCTAGCTAATCAAAACTCGTGTTACTAACAGATTTATTTAAATGAATAATTCACGCTGTTTGGTTTTGTCTTCCGTT